CGGGGGGGTTAGTGTCATTGTCACAATAGCTAAGCCTAATATATATATATATATATATATATATATATATACACACAAACAGCATTATAATGAGATTGAAAAATCAAAATTATTCTTCCAATGCCAGTCCTCTTTGTTATCTTTAAGTCATAACGGATAATGTATCTGGCCATAGCAACCAAATGCGTTGAGGATATTCCATCTATCAAATAAGATCCAAACGCCGATGTCAAATTGGCCAGCAACAACATATATGTATATTGAAAATGTAAAATAAGAGCAGCTGTTGAAACTTTTATTCGAACTATAGTTTACTGAACTTCATCTAAGTTAGTATATTTAAAGTTTAGATACATTTGACCTATAATCTCATTTCTTGCCAAACAATGAACTAATTAGAGTAAATAAATAATATTACTTAGTTTAATTTTCGTTTTTTCTTATTATTATTAGCAAAAGGTTTATCATAACCTAAATATACTGCGTCTCAAAGTTAACCATAGTGCTGTAAAGAAAAAAGTCAAAGTAGATATCTTTCAATATAATATTATGATATAGACATCTTAGATAAAGATACACATCATTATATTTTGTATGGTTTAGTATATTTTCAGGTGGAATGTTTTATATTTTGTAAATATACCGTTCTTGCTAGAACTGGTAAAATGTTATATATAATTAACACCCTGATCATTCGAGTGCCAATCACCAGAATAAAAAACAATTTATAATTAACACCCAGATCATTCAAGTACTAATCACCAGAATAAAAAACAATTTATAATTAACACCCTGATCATTCGAGTGCCAATCACCAGAATAAAAAATAATTTATAATTAACACCCTGATCATTCGAGTGCTAATCACCAGAATAAAAACAATTTATAATTAACACCCAGATCATTCGAGTACGAATCACCAGAATAAAAACAATTTATAATTAACACCCTGATCATTCGAGTGCCAATCACCAAAATAAAAACAATTTATAATTAACACCCTGATCATTTGAGTGCCAATCACCAGAAGAAAAAGCAATTTATAATTAACACCCTGATCATTCGAGTGCCAATCACCAGAATAAAAAACAAACAAGAGTGACGTAAATTCTATTTGATCGAATTAACTCAAAACTGCAAAAGTAATACTTATAAACATTATAAACGAATAATCTGGTGAATAAGAATCAAAAGACAATGTTTCTCTTTTAGAAATATTGAAATCAATATATCTGTCCAAGTTATTTATACCACCACTGTTTTAAACGTTTCTTTTCTGATTTAATAAAATAGAATCAGCCTGAAAGTAACTAGCCACAGAGGACTCTACACTGATAAAACGATGTTATTTTTTTCTTGGGTGGATAGTAGGTAACTTCATTTTATTTCTAAAAGAAATATATTTCTGTGAGCTTAAATAATATAGTTGTTATTATGTAGTCTAATGTTAAAATTCAAGCATTTGTAAAAACTTTAGTCTGTAGGTAAAGATATTGTGGAAAAAAAAAATGAAGATAATCTTAGGTTTCGTTTGCGGTTGTGCTAAACACTTCACAAGCCTTTAAGAGATGGCCGTGTAAGGATATAACACATATACGTCGTGTTGAGAAACGAACCTTTATTTAAGGAGTCCTCTTTCGTCACTCTAAGTGGCAGGCTTAGAACATCCTATCATTATCACTCGTTTACAAGTTCAAAATTCAGAGTACCATCCTCTCGTTAACAGCTGCTTCATGACTCTCCTCCAGACTTCTTACCAAATCATCTCAAGTTCAAATGCTCTAATCACAGCAGCATCCAAAAATATCGAAACGTTCAAACCACACAGTGCCATATTTCTAAGCCCTGCTACAGGTTTCAAAGTTTGAAGAAAAAAATATCAAAACGTTCAAACCACACAGTGCCATATTTCTAAGCCCTGCTATAAGTTTCAAAGTTTGAAGAAAAAATATCAACTCGAAAGTTTGCGGAAATAATTCCAAATGAAGAGCTCTGTGCGCCGCTAGAGGTCAGATTTTGTATTGAATTATATATTAAGTAACATATTAATTCGTGCTCCGAAACTTTTAGTTTAAGATCATATTCGTCACCAAATTTTTGTCTTCCTTGTATAAATTAGTTCAAAACTATTGGTAATCACTATCTAAGAAGTAGTCTTTTAACATGATGCCTCCACAGCACCAATAATCAATTTAGAAAAGTTAATCTTGAACTCCGTTCTCTTTCTTTTTCGTCTCCTTAACGACTTATCATGTGCATCTACATAAGAATGCTTTCTCCTTCATTTTTTCTATATAAATGGAGCATTCCTATTCAGTGTGAATAAAAATTCTGAATATATTTTATCAATATGTGTCTTGAAAGAACTACGCACATTCTTTGGGGTTATATAAGTTATGTTGTCGGTCAAATAACGCACTGCATAGTTTCATACGTTAGGAATTTTATGCCTTAATCAATATAAATGTAGTGCAGGAGTAATTCCTTTCCTCTAATAACTTTCCTGTCACAAAATACCAAGGGAAAGTTTTTAATACATTCATAGGATATAGAGGTATTATTACATAAGGAACAAACTAAGGGTGTCAAGGGTTTAGAGAAGGAAAAATAAAACGCCCCGCTATAAAACTAATCACAATAGGATATAGAGGTATTATTACACGAGGAACAAACTAAGGGTGTCAAGGGTTTAGAGAAGAAAAAATAAAACGCCCCGCTATAAAACTAATCACAGACCTTAGATAGACAATGATCCTTGATTTCTAAGATCCTCTTATCCAAAAATGTGTTCTATTAGACATGTAAACTTGTAAATAAATGTTTCAATATCGTATATTACTTACGATTTAGGTATTATCAAGTTTTGGAAAATAACGGCGTTTCTGTTATGCTAATACTTGTATCGAGTAACAGTTGTTTAGTTTTAGCATTTTTTTGACAAATTAACTGAGTTATTTCCCAGTTTTAGTAGTTATATTTGGTTTTATCGCTTTGTTGACAAATTAACTGAGTTCTTACACAATTTTGGTGGTTATATTTTATTGATATAGTTTTTACAGGTGTTATACAAAGTTTCCAGAAAGTACCTTTCGAAACAAGAGTAAGTCATACACCTTAATTAGCATGCTTTATTTATAATCGAGAATATGAGTTAATTGATTCGAAATTCAATCATTTTAGATTATAAACATTGGTCCAAGAGTATTTTACGGCATCATATATCTAATAGCGTAATACGTGCTATTCTTACTTATATTCATTGTGAATTATCAATACGAAGGACCAATTATACTTTGTACGGGAGATTTGTGTATGTTAATATAGGGTCGTGTCTTTGCGTTAACAAAACCTGACGCCAAAGGCAACATGTCTACCATCTAGTTGTTTATTTGGGTCACGCCGAATTTCCTGCCATTGGACTAAAAAATGCCGCCAGAAGTCGGATTATGGTTCTAGCTTATACCACAGCTCTTTCCAAAAGAATATATTTGTATAGAAATATTGTCGAAAGATGTAATACCAAACGATGGAACATTTCAAAAATGGTGTCTTCGGTGTATTCAAGATGTAATACCAAACGATGGAACATTTCAAAAATGGTGTCTTCGGTGTATTCAAGATGTAATACCAAACGACGGAACATTCCAAAAATGGTGTCTTCGGTGTATTCAAGATATAATACTAAACGACGGAACATTCCAAAAATGGTGTCTTCAGTGTATTCAAGATGTAATACCAAACGACGGAACATTTCAAAAATGGTGTCTTCGGTGTATTCAAGATGTAATACCGAACGCCGGAACATTCCAAAAATGGTGTCTTTGGTGTATTCAAGATGTAATACCAAACGACGGAACATTCCACAAATGGTGTCTTCGGTGTATTCAAGATGTAATACCAAACGACGGAACATTCCACAAATGGTGTCTTCGGTGTATTCAAAATGTAATACCAAACGCCGGAACATTTCAAAAATGGTGTCTTTGGTGTATTCAAGATGTAATACCAAACGACGGAACATTTCAAAAATGGTGTCTTCGGTGTATTCAAAATGTGATACCAAACAACGTAACATTCCAAAAATGGTGTCTTCAGTGTATTCTACCGAAGCGCAAAAACTCGCACAGAAGAGAGTCTAGGCTCCCAAGCCACACCGGATCAACTCCTTCATAAGCAAAGTGAAGGGTATGGTTAAGAAAGGGAAACTTTCAATCCAAGATGCCATTGTCATAAAGCTGGGTGTATTTTCTGGTGCCGTTAATAAAATAATGAATTTGTTTTCAAGTTGAT